TCTGAAGGCGTGTGTTATCTTCATTTCAGCATTTCCCAGCAGAATTGGGCTGGCTGACAAATGAAGCAGAAGCAGGGGGAGCCTGTGTTATTAGGGATGTCTGTCCAGACCCCAAGGTGCTCACCCCCAGCCAGGAGTTTGGGTGACTGCCCCTGGGTGAGAAGGAGCCAGAAGGAGCCACCCCAAGATGGCTGTCTCTCCCCAGCCAGCCTGGAGCTACTCTGCTGGGACAGGACAAGTGCATTCATGGCCCTGCCAGTACGACCCCACTGTGTCCATACCAAAACAAGGAGATTTCCAGGCTTTTGCTGTCTGGTGTCATGGCAGCTTGGCACATGCCGGAGTGACCATGCACTCCATAGGTGTCTTTGGAGACCTAACCAGGACTCCCACCATCTAGCAAGATTTAAGTTTCTGTTGATACTTAAGTACTGGAGTTGACTTGTTTTAGATATTTGTTCTCAGTCTGGAGGATCTGACCTTCAAAAAGTATTTTACTTTAAAAGGTAGGGTGAAAAACACTTTCTTAAATGTATGGTATGAGACAAAAAGTTAATAGTCCTATGTAGTTCTATGATTCTATGTAGGTCTTTGTAAGCTCCAGAAGGATTAGTAATGATCCTACCACCAGTACACGGAGGTACAACCAGCAGCTTCAGGGAGATTTGTCTGGCCTTTGCTGCCTTCTTTGCTGGATACAGCATGTGGAGATGGTTCATGTTTTGGGTCATTAGGACTAAATCCATCAAAAGGTAAAAGACACTGCATGTCGAGCTCGCAGTTACTCCTGTCCTTCCCATCATAAAGGTCTTTGAGAAAGGTCAGTCCCTCAGGAAACCCAAATTCTGTGCCTAGCAAGGACTATCTGACAATATTTCTGATGAAGCAGTTCTGAACCATGCATGGTTTCAGGGCAGCTGGAAGGCTATTTTCTGGGCATAAGCATGCCCTTAGTTTTCCTGGGATTTCCAAAGTACAGCCTTGTGGGAACTGCTCTGCCGCATCTAGATCCTGCCTCAGGTTTCTTCACCCAAAGGACCTCCACAACCAGTACCCCAAATCTCAAGACTGCAGAGCAAAGCCTGGTGTCTCAATGAACACTGTTAATACAGATATTGTACAGCTCGTGATCATTGGAGCCATGATTTACATGCATCGGGGCCATGCATTTACTTACAGCCATGCATTTATTGGATGTATTTATTTATGAAGAATGCACAGGGTACCTAAAGATTTTCTACATCCATGAGATAAGCCTCAACAGATTTCTGTGGGCAAATATTGAAGGGGAAAAAAAAATGTTCAGCTTCTATACTTTTATGTTTTGCTCCCTGATTGGGGTTAGTTTTAATCTTTTCAATACATGCTCCAGTATTTTACCGAGCTTGTCATTTCATGGGATTATTCAGAAATAAACTGTTAGATTTTTCAGTTCCTGTGCTACCTTCATTCCCCTGGTGACGTTCATGGGTAGAGAAGCCTTAACATTCATTACAAAGGCAAACCAGCCCACAAGACTGAATACAGGCCCAGTAAAAAACAGATTATCCTTCCCTGGTATTATAAAGAGCTTCTTTCTGTAATTTCTTTTTAGGAGGCTGTAATACACAATGCCATGCCATTGAAATGACCGTATTACTGGCTTGAAATAAGGATAAAACCTGCAACTGCTCCATTTAAAAATAACGCAGTCTGGGGTTTGTAGGCATTACTTCTACTCCAGAATACTGACGGCAGCTTAGTACCTGGTTATCCACAAAAGCATTCGCTTCGGGCTGGAACAAGCTGTTGCGCTGACGGAGCAGCACGGATCACTCGGGCAGCCACGGACCCGCTCCTTGCTAACTGCAGCGCTGGGAATGCCAGGAAACTCATTGCTGAGAAGGGCTCATCCTGGCCTGAGGTCAGCAAGGTTAATTGGGCTCAAAGCTAAAGCAGAAGCAACCTCATGCTCCTGCCATCCCCTTCCTTATGTTTTCCTCCTCTGGTCAGCCCCGGCGCCTGGTTAGCTGTCTGCAGACCTGCTCTTGAGAGGTAACCAAGCTGCAGCACTTCAGCCATCGAGCGGGGGGAAAAAAAAACAACCCAAGAGCAAAATTTCTACAGCCCTTGTTGGCACCCATGCTGTGCAATCATGACTTTTTTATAAGTCAGAGCCCGGCTTATATAAAGCCCGGCCCAAGAACATGACTCCGGGGTAGAAAAAAGCGTGGTCCCCAACAGCTGGCATGGGGACGCGATGACCCAGCAAAGAAAGCTGAGCTGAGCCAGTGCTCTGCTCACCTGCCCGGCTGCTTGACTCTGCTTCTTCAGCTCAGCATCTCAAGCATTTTGGGAGGCAGATTTAATCCGCTGGCTGTTGCAGCCCTCTCGTGGCCACACAGACCCAACCGCGCTCCTGCGTGCCGGCTGCTGGGAAAGCACAGACCGAAATTCTGCGGGGGGGACAGCATATTTTAAAAAGCTCAAAAAACAGTCATTAAATAGCATATTCATCCAAGAATAAATATATAAATCAATGGAAAAGACACTTAGGATAGTATTTGTTCCGGGTGTACAGGCAGAGTCGTTGTTAAATGACTTGCTTTTCAAGAATCAAAAGAAAAATTACAGATAAAGCATTAAGCAGTCGCGTTTTTAATGGGATGCCCTGTTTCATCTCCTCAGGCTGTCACTAACAGTCTGCTTTGAAGTGCTTCTTTTCTTTTGAGCATTTGTGCATTGATTTACAATGGTGTGGGTAAATTTTGTGCTCACGAGTTTTGCTGAGTATCTGCTTACTGGAAACATGTCTATCTGCTCAGAGAGCTCCAAGGAGGGGTGAAAACCTCTTGGGTTGGGCAGGATCTGGGGGAACCTGGACTGTTCCAAATTTCTGCACAGACTAACAGGTAGATGGTTCTTTGGAGCGTGAAAAGCAAGCCTGGTTTTTGGTATATTTTGTTTTTCCTTTTAATCTACCGGGGAGAGACAGAGACATCACTAACACTTGGAAATAAACCTTGGGAATTAATAGTGGAAGGAGAACGTTGATGGGAGCAGTGCTGAGAGCCCAGCCATATGCTCCCTGCCTGGTGCTGTCAGCAAGCACAATCAGAGATACCTATAGAATAAAAAATAAAATGGATCAAAATGAAAAGCTTGTGCATAGGTATGGTGTACTCTGGAGGAGGTTCTCCAGTTTTGATTGATGTTTCTTAGACTGACAGCAATAGTACTTACAGACCGGAGTGCCGCAGTCCTGCCAGAGGGATGATGTTACGCCATCGTTTTCCCACTGCTTTCCTCTTTTTTTCCTTACAGTAGTTTCAGAGGAAACATCTGCAGGAGAAATGGCTGTATTTCAAAAAGATATGAAAAAACCCAAAACAAAACTAAAAAAAAAGAACAAAAAACCAAAGCACGAAGTGGATCTGTGACGACTGTGTGAGCTGACGTTACCTTTTCAGACGGCAGCGCTGCTACCTCTGGCAGTAAGGGCATCCAGGCAGATAGATGGGGGTTAGGTTTAGAGGGATCAGCAGGACTCTGGGTGACAATGACATCTAATATTTTGCAAGCCAATGTGCCAACCCATGTGTTTGTGATGCTGGAACAAGTCTTTTGATCAATACCAGGCATCAATAAGGCAGCAGGATCTGAACCCTTTCAGATGCACATGGGCACATGTTTTCCAGCTTAATCACGGAAAAATCAGTTTATAGAAGTGGACTCTGCGCCTGCAGGTATTTTCCTGCCCTAAGAGCTATTTGCAATGAGGCTGGCAGGACTGCAGGCTCCTTTGCCCCCATGTGCGCAGCCCAAGGTCTGCACAGCACCGTGGCCGTAAATGTAGCACCAAATCCCACTGCTGTCCCATGCAGGGTCTGCCTTTCCAGCTGGCTGCCCTGGCAGCACCTTCTTTAGCCCTCTGAATAACTCAGGACCCTGTGGAAATAGTCTTAACTTACCTGTATTAACACCTTAACCACATACATTATATTTAAGTAATATAGGTGCTATTTTGCTGCTGCAGCAATGCTGCTTCAAGGGAGCCAAGCTGTGGCACAAGGACGAGCTGCAGCTCACGGCCTCAGGCTCTTCCACGGCCTCAGGCTCATCTTTCTCACTTACAAGAAACCCTTAATGCTTCCATAAAATGGTATTTTGCATTTTTTTTATTTTTAACTAAATAACCTCTTCACTCTTCATTTTCTGTAAGCCCACCCGCACAGAGCAAGATGTGACTTTTTTGGTTTAAGATCGCTTTTATTTTATATGGAGAAAAACAGTAGTAAGAAAGTAACAAAACTAATATCTGCCTGAAAGAACACAGGGCAAGTATCATCCTGGGATCCAAAAAATTCTCCAAACAAAAAGGCTGATAAATTCTTAAGACATGCCTATATTACGAGATGCTGAGGCAGTTGGGGCAGTAAATACCTACGCTGATAAAATCATGTGAAATAGCCTAGTGCAGAGCAACTTACAGCTCCGGTCTGGGTGCAATGAGTCACATTACTTGGGTGCAAAGCAGCGGGGACACCTTGCTGGTTTTTTCCTGGTGCAGCTGGAAGCAGTGGGTCTGTACGCGGCCAGCACGGGGGCTGCAGCCTCCTCCCAGCTGCAAAGCAGCACCTGGTCATATAGACATGACTTTAGGTATGTAAACATGCTGGCTATATAGAAAAGTGGAAATCCCAGTGCCAAAATGCATACCATTAAAACAAAGTCCATGTAGGCTTTTAGTGAGATGGAGCTCTTTACTTTCTGGAAAACATTCTCCTAGGGCTGGACTAAATAGCCAGGGTGAAATCTTGGCTCTGTTGACCTCAGCAGGACAAAGAGCTCATCCCCAGTGTTGCAGTGTCCGCTGACCCTGGCTGGCAATGGGAGGCTGTGGATGAGCCCCACTTTCTCGCCTTCTGGCCTGCAAGTTGCCTTCTTTCTACGCTATGCCCTTCTGCGACCGCATCGCCCCTATACCCACCCTAACTTATCTTCTGCAGTTGGTCCAGACTCTAGGATTCAACCACAATCATACTCAAGTTGTTGCTGAAGATGATCCTCCCGTCCTTCTTGCTGCTGCACTCGGGCTGGCAGAGAGCCTCCTGCAGCTGCTGCCGCAGCCCCGGGGGGGCCGTGCCCAGGAAGTTTTTTGTCCCAGTCAGGAAATCCATCATGCGGGCTCCAACCGGGTCCCCCTCGATAAAGCACTCGGTGATATCCCAGCCCGATGGGAACTCATAAACACGGTATTCAACACCCAGTCTCTTCAAAACATCCGTGATGCCGTTGGAGGTGATGTAGTGGCCGCTGTCCGTGGAAGGCAAGCAGTGTCTGTACTTCTTCCATAAGCTGGACCATCCGCTACTGTCTGCCAGAGCAGGAGGGAAGGTTACTTTTGCAAAGCCAAGGCAGTCAAACATTAGCTAACACGACTACTAAATGAGTTTGAAATGCTCCCTTGCTGCTGGCCCAGACTATGCCAGGAGCAGTAGAAGAGCTTTCCCCCTACTTGAGTCCGCTTATAAATGTCCGTGCCTGGGGAGGGGTAAAACTGTGATCTCCATCAGCCCTCCTTCCAAAACTCTCCTGATTAAAGGAAACCCCAAGGAGATGGTCTCCGGCACAGGATTTCTCCAGAAGGAGGAGTACACACAGATATATCAGGGCACCAGCCTCCACATGCATGCTACCTATTAACTGCCCCTTTGATAGAATAGTGCAGATGTTTTTATACATTGAACCTCAATTTTAAGTATACATCAAAGAATACATACCTGAAAAGCTAGTCGCAGCTAGCAAGGGAAACAGCCTACCAGCAATGCTAGGGGGAGTTTTAAAGGCAAACGTGGGGAAGTGTGCTTTATCCACTGCACCACAAGCCAGGGATCTGTGAATGGCACACTAGAAAAAACACGTTTTTTTAAAAAAGTGTTGTAAGTGCCTCTTTTTCCTCTTGGCAGCTCCTGTTGTCCTGGTGGGGTCTGGGTCATCGCTGTGTGGAGGGAAGAGCCCCAAAGATGGCTCCTCCCAGAGCTCAGGTTGTACAGTGCTCATTTCACCCTGAAGAAGGATTGAGCCTCATTCATTAATAGCCACACTTCTCTCTAGCCAGTAATTTCACAGCAGGAGGTCTCTGCGAGGTAGAGAGCAATTCATCTACTTCATAAGCAGGGACGCCTATGCAGTCCCATCAGACATTGGGGTCCAAGAGGCTAAGCCCAAGATCGCTTGTTCCTTATGAAATACAGCATTCGTTTTATTTAATTAATAAGCACTACTAAAATCCCAAGATGAATATTTGTGGTACTCATACTTCAAAGCTCTTCAAAACACCAGCAAAGAAACAAAAAATAAAAGGCGCCTCTTACCTGATAAAATTATGATCAGGAGTTTACCATGATGGTCGAGGCAGCTGTGGAAAAACTTGATAGTATTGGGAATATCCTCCACACGGTACAGCATCTAGAAGTGACGGAGTCGTTATTCCTCCTCTACAGTGCAATGGCCCTTCAAAGTCTTAAACCCTTTCTCTGTAGAGTTGTTTTAAATTACTTCGCAGTTGCTTCCCAGCCTGTCCTAAGTCAGCACGCATGTTTAGGGATGTCCCACAGGACTGAGCATCACCAGCTCTCCACCAGCACCAACAGCCTGGGGTCAGACCCAGGGACCTTCTGCTAACCTCAGCTGGATGCTGACTTGCCCATCGCTGCCCTTCAAGCCCAGTGCAGTTTTGTGGTTGGAAAATATGTGCAGAGGAGGGTCCCCTGGTTTCTGTGGTTGGCCTTTATCCCCAGGGGCATTTCTCAGCCGTGTCTGGGCTGTGGGCAAGCTGGATCTCTTCCAGACACCAAGGAATTTGCACTGGGACAAAGCAGGGCTCATCTCAAAGGCTGCCCTTGGGGCTTGTATCTTAGCCCTTGACCCATCCACCAAAACTCTGAGACATTTTCCAGTTGTGAAATCAGCTCTTATGAAAAGAAAGCAAAATGAAATAAAAAGAAAAATGAAATGAAATCCATTAAAGAGAGAGAATAACAGATTTTTTACAAAACGTAATTGGTACATACAACATCAGTGCCATCAGTATCAGAGACACAGCAGCCTAATTTCTGACCCAAAACCTGACACACATGTTCGTTCACCAGCCTTTCCCTTCAGTGCCATCCAAACTACTCTGATTAAGCAAAAACAAGATTCTAGCTTTTTGTAGCAGCAACACATGATTGTTGGCCTCCATGTGACATGTGATGGTCTGAGACTCATCCCGTTTTATTACCCACCATATACAGTTAAACCAGTACAAATCAGAGACCAAAACCAGGGTGGATAGGGAATGAGGTTTGGTGTTTGTAGAGCTGCTGCAGAAGTTGTTGCTCAGGGGAGAACTGTGCTCATCTCTGCTCCCCCTAACTTGATGCATACAGCAGAAATGAAGGGAATAGTTAAAGCTAATTAAAGCAGTACTCCATTACCTGGATCATATGGATGAAGTCGAATTTCTTATGTGCACCTTTCTCTTTCACCTCTTGTTCATACTCCGAGGAAGTGAGCTGGTGCCAAATAAAAGAGACATTCTGCAGGTCTGGAGCTTGATTCACCAACTCTGTTTTAAAAAAGTAGAAGAAAAACATGAATTTCACAAAACAGCAGAAAAACTCATCATTCAAATCGACAGTCCTCCCCATACCCCAGGCAGCAGGTATAGCCTTACCTTTGTAAGCTGCCACGTGCTGTGGGTTGGGCTCTATGATTTCGTTGTCAATAAAGACGCCCGGGTGTGCAGCCTGCAGGATCCTGATCATTTTCAAATCCTGCTCACCTATTCAATAAACACAAATTCATGACTTTAAAAAGTACTTAAATGAGATGAAAGGATGCCGGTGCCCCTGCCGCCTCTGCTGCTGGGAAAACCCCCCAAGCAGAATTGAGGTACTTTCTACCTTGCGTCTGGCACGGTGGCATCTAACCTGGTGATAGTCTTACCACAATATCGTATTGCTCAAGGTAACATACAGTTACAGATAAGACTAAGAACAAGGAAGAGAGAAGCAACAGCGCAGAAACCTGCTGATGGCAATACTCTGGGACACGGGACAGACAGGTCAAAATAGTCAAAGATCATTGTTTAAACAAACAACCAGGAAGCATTAGTTTTCAACAAAAATGCAAAGTTTGAATGGGGGCATGGAGGGAGTCGGAACAGTTGTGCAATTTCAACATGGCACAGGGTGGTCCATGCCTTTGGCACAGCCCTGGGGAGGTGATGGTTGCTCTGCCGCTGGTGTGACATGGCTTGGAGACCTGGGGAACTGCATGGCAAAGGAAAGACCCATTGACATGCAGTACCCTGGGTCTTCCCTCTTTGGAGCCCAAGCACATGGTCTCAGCTCTGGGCATCTACCAACTAGTTGTTATCTTGGAGCTGCAAGTAGAGCGTCATATATCGGCGTGTAGGTGCCCTGCAAATTTAGCTTTTGGTGCTCCTCTGTTGTTGTCTGAGCTCTGGAGGAGCAAGCAGCAGTCTGTCCTTCTGTCAGGAACTTCTGAAGTTCCCAGTCTCTTTCAAGGTGATGCAGGTCACCCTTGTTTCTTACAGAAAGGCCACGATACACCAGATGTACAAAGTCCACCTGCTTCATCTGGAACTATGGAAATAAAGAGCAGAGGTGACCACCTTGAATCAACCTTTGCGAGAATCCTGTCTGTAGCTGATGGTAGGGCCTAAAAATAGTCCTGCCCTTGCAAATGTCATACACAGAGGGCTTGATACGAGATACTGCATCTTCCCTGGCCTTTCAGCTGACGTACCAGCTATGAGAAAAATCGTCATCTTTGGCAGGTGTTGCAGTAAATAGAATTCAAGGAGGGAAATATCAGCTATGCCAGCACTACAGGGACATTCAAGGAAGGACGAGTCTTTTGAAATTGGAGAAAAAATACTGAAGACCCCTGAGGAATGCAGTGGCAACAGTGCAGGGCTGGCCAAAGGCAGAAGGAAGGAGGCTGCGGCTCCATCTGTTGAAGGTGGGTGCACGGACCAATATTGTTGACACTGGTATTTCAGGGCAGATCCCTATAGCAAGCAGCTGAGTCACTTTAGGCAGTCCTAAATGCCAGTTAGTAGGTGCCTTAGGATAGGAAGCACCAGCGATTAGAGGTGCTGACGTGGGCTCCCCGCAGGCTCAGGGCAGGCAGGAGGCAGAGCATCACTGCCCCATACCCTGGAGCCACTGATGGTGGCAAATGGGTGTATCAACAACAAATGGGTATTTTAAAAGCTGTTTGGGATTTTTTTTACTCCATCTCCGTAAAATGCCCAAGCCCAGTCTTTGCAAGAGCAGGTAATAACATCCTCAACTGGGGTGTCTGCAAAAACAAGCGGTAAAATACGATGCTTCAGAGCAGGAATTTCTCTGCTCCAGCTTGCCCTGCCAGCAACAACCCTTCAGCATTAATCATAGGGAGGCTGAAACAGGAGTGAAACCCCTCTGTAAACAGCAGCCCACGCTGGCACTAACTGGGAGGTTACAGCCGAGATATTTAAACCAGCCATGGGAAAACATGGGGTGAATGAGAAAATGTGATCTGGACCAGCCAGCAGCCTTTTCGGATGTGGAGTACGTCACTAATCCCCATTAATATTTTCATCAACTAAACTAATTCTGGGGGCTCTGTGAAATCAGAGTCTAAGCCTGGAAAGGTCAGGGATCAGATATAACCTTTTGCTCAATGCCGTCCTAGCTCACTCCTCTGCCTGGCTGCAGAAGTTCAGCTCTTACAGCCGTGGGCAAGCTGAGGGGGTGCGAGTCTGTGAGGGGCAGCTACCCAGCAAACCCAGGAAATTTTAGGGGCTTTATTTTTCCATTAAAACATCTTCTGAAGAGGAAATAAGAAAAAATGAGGACGGTGCAAACAGTTTATTTTTCCCTTACCCAGGAAACCCAGGAAATTTTAGGGGTTTTATTTTTCCATTAAAACATCTTCTGAAGAGGAAATAAAAAAAAATTAGGATGGTGCAAAAGTTCATTTTCCCCTTGTGTTTTCTTGGAGTCAAAATTTTGGTTTTATATTACTTAATGAAAATGGAGTGTAACGGAGAACTGAATGATTTCTTCCTGCTTGCTTTCTCGTATGCTCCAACATACTCCCAAGTGGGGAAAACAATTCAACACTATTTTTTTCTTACTCAGGAAAACAATCAGAAAAAAGTGAGGAAAATACTTTCATTGGAAAATATTAACACTTAAAATTCAGCTGAAAATACTTTTTAAAGCAAAAGCAAACTCTGACAATTCAAACTGCCACTTCTTTTCTCTATTTTTTATTTTCTCCCAGTTTCCCTAGGAGCAAAGTTGGATGTTTCACCACTTTTTTTTTTTAAAAAACACAAATGCATTTAGAACAGCTTTAAAGCTATTTTTCCAAAAGATGGGTTTCTCTCTGGGGAAAAACATCATTTGCAGTTAAACCCTACTTATCACCAGATGAAAACACAGTAGTAACAAAGAAACATGTCTTGAAAAAGCTGACAAGGCCCCATGCTAATGGTTGTGGCCAGCTGGTTTTGCACCGCCTGGAGCAGAGCATTGCCTAGTTTTGGCTTCTGGGATCCCTAAAAGCAAAGAAAAACGAGAGATCCCTTCAGGTGGGATATTCTAAGACAGGACTTTGGGTGGAACGAGCCTCTCGGATGTCTCTAATTCTCTCCGACGAGGTTTGAAGATGCTCTCATACCTAATCCAGAGCAGGACTTCTTGCTTTGAGACACATATAAAGTCAGATGAAAGTCATCAAGAGGCAGAGACTGAGCTAAAGTCACCACACTCATCTCACTTCTTGGACAGATTTCAGCAGCAGCGTTTCATACGGGACATGGGGAGGGAAGGGAGGGAGCCCTCTTTTGCCGTTCTCTGCTTCAATGAGAAATACTGTTGTTAACGCCTGAGTAGTTATCCCCATTGCTCAAAATTTCAGTATCATTTTCTGCTACCCATAGGGACCCCCCGCCCCCAGCATCAGCGGTGCTGCTAAGCTCCTTACCTGTGCCACTTCCGACTCCCAGAACATTTATAGTCGATTTTCCGTTGCCGAGACTGAAATGATAAGTACACATCACCACACTGTGAAAGTTAATTACAACTTCATATTTTAATTCTAGTATCTTGGATGCCACATTGGCCCAGAAATTTAACTGAGTTTTGCCACATGAATTGGGATAGAAATTCGAGCATCCTTTTGGAGCCCAGCTATAACCAACGCGTGGCGGGAGCAGCCCCGTATTAGCAAGCTCATTTTTCACAGTACAGTAGGCATCAGGATATAGTGTTTTTCTTCCTCTGCCAGAGAGTTTTCTTCAAGCTGTGGCTGGCACCTTGCAAAAAGGCCTCAGGGAACCCCAGGACGAAGGGTTCTCTTCAGGGGTAGCGGGGCTGTGCCTGGCTGGGATGGGCACCGCTCCCCAGCCGGGGCTGCAGGGACACGGTGAGCTGGGGCGAAACCTCTGCACCCTCAGGAGACAGGTTTGGTTTTCCAATATTGGATATAAATGCCCGGAAAAAATAAAAAATCAGGCTATCCAGATGACAGGAAATCCTCTCTTTTCAATATTCGTCTTGGTTTGAAATTGGGAGGAAAGGTCAAAATCTTCAATAATTTTTACTTTAGAAATATTACTTCTGAAAAGATCAAAAAAAAAAAACCCCAACCTTGTGGTTCCTAGCAGAATATTTAATAACAGCCTGGCTCGAGGATGGGAAGACCAGGTTCGAGGCGCCTGGCTGCTGTGACGTGCTTTATGGCCTCATGGACTGTGCAGGGGGATTGAGTTTCCCATACACAGTCTCAGGAGACACCACAACAATGATTCAACAAGAGAGGAGAGAGTAGTAAATCCTCAGGGCGTGAGCTAGCCAAGGGGCCTTAGCCCTCATGAGGGTCAAGACCCTTTGACAGACCCACAATCAGCATCATAGGAAGCCACAATGTTTTGCATCATTTAAAATTCACATAAGTAAATTTTCCAATTAAAGTTTCCCAATACAAATTATTTTTAATTATCATGTTATTGCTTATTTTTTATGTATATCTGATACGGAGAACAAAAATTTGCCTGCCAAAATTTTTTCTCAATGGAGAATACACTTTCCATAACATCCAAAAATTACCCAAACTTGAAAGATCTTTCTTGCAGTTTGGATCTAGGCTGCTCTAAAACTTATCTGCAGTCATCCAGGCTTAATATATTACATCAATACTCCACAAAACTGATTATCGTTTGGTACTTAAGCAATGCAAATCGACTTAGGATAGAAGTAAGGAGGTCTTAGGGGATTGAGAAAACCAAGAATTAGTCACTAGAAGAGAATTAGAGATGTGTTTCTGTTTGGACTGATGTGTGATGAGGTCCCAAAAGCAGGGAGAAAGCACAAGAGAAAGCTTTCTTTTGAAAAACACAAACAACAAAAAATACTTTAATCCTTGGAAAATCAGCTAATGAAAAGAGATGGATAGGAAAATGAGGTCTTGATTCTTTCCTTAACATAAGCTGAGGGGCAGCACAGTGTATTAATTGAAAGAGCACGTATTCTGGAGTCATTAAACAGAATACCCTAAAGCCTGCTATTAAGGGACTTAAAATTGAAAAGCATTAGAAGTTCATTCATGCCCCAGAAAATCCTTAAACATGTTTGCTGACCATTGTATGTAGGTTGCCCTCCCAAGATAACAGATGGCTTTCCCACTTCGGTGGAAGCGCTCCTTACCCAGCCATGATGTCGGGCATTTCTTCCTTGTTGAACTCATCCATGCACTGGTGCTCTGTTGAATGATCCAAAAATGACTTAAAAGCTTCTACATACTCCTCGGCCGTGAGACTTCTCATGGAAGGGATCACATATAGCTCTTGAGAAATAAATACAAATTGTGTGTTAGCAGCTTCAAGGCAAGTGAAGGATCAAAGCACTTACCTCATGGGAGAAACCCAACCCAACCCAACAGAAGCCAGAGATTTGGGAAGACGGTAGGGAGGGCGCGCGGCCCAGGAGCCGTCCAAGCAGGTGGGCTCATGCGAACACTTTCCAACCTGTTCACACTCAGCGTTTGAAAAATATTCTTAGATGCCCTTTAACACCAGTGTATTTGTTAAGTGACTCATTACTACAGGTCTCCCTGAGGAAAATATCCCCATAATTTCCTGAAGATGCTTAGATAGATATGGGGTACTCAGTTTGCAGAAAGGGAGGTAACTGGAGTGCTTTTCTGGAAGGCTCAAGGCAAGAAGGTGGAGGGAATGGCACAGCATGCCCAAACCTGGGGGGGGCGTCGCTCTCGCACATGCTGGACGGTGTAACTGAAATGGCCAGCTGCTGGCACGCTTGCTGCTAGGGGTGATGCAACACAAAAACTGCCACCTGCGGCTGAAGCAAAAATAGTCAATCCCGTGCACCTCATTTCCGACTCTTGCCAGCATGGGACTGCAATGTGCTGCCGGAGAGGTGAATTCCCCATGGGAACTGCAGCTCGTGGCCAGGAGGGCAACTGATAGCAAAAGCATTTCATCTGAACGGGCTCATGCTCAAATGTGAATGGCTGAGACCAAGTTTTCTAGCTCTGAACCAACACCCGGGGCTACTCAAGGGGTTGCAAGCAATTATTGCAAAAACTCACTTTCCTGCAGTCTCATCCTAATGACAGCGCTGCTGCCAGGGCACAAGCTCTGGCCGACTGCTTGGGTCTGAGGAGCAACGGTAAGACTAAGACTTGAGGCTCATGAGAAGACGCCGTGCGGTACTGGTTCTGGGGTCTATCTCAGACAGAGGGCTGCAGTAGGGGGGCACTCTCAACGTGTAAGATCAGCATTGGAAAGGTAGCATTCAATAGGAAAAAAAAAGCTTTTCCTCCTAAACAAAACGCGGATGAAGGACAGGACCCAGCAGAACATTTTCATCCTCATTTTTGCCTTTTGAGAAGCTGCTTATTTATCATCTGCTTTTAGTTGCCACTAGTAAGAAAACTGTGTATGTCTCATACAGGACTGTGCAATCGTAAATTGAATGCCTGTGCTGTTTCCAAAACCACAGGTCATTGACAGCTGTGTTTCTGGTGGGTATGTATGGAGACCCTATGTCCAGCCCTATTGGAGGTAAAGATATCAACATCTATCCTCAACACTTTGAACTACACCCTAAAAAAAAAAAAGATATCAACATCTATCCTCAACACTTTAAATACACCCTAACAAAAACCTGGAATCACCTGAATTGCAGTCAGTTTAGCATCCTGTTCCTTTTTTTTTTTTTTTAAACAATCTCTAACTCCAAAAGAATTAAAACATGTTTGCAGTGAAAGCAAGCTCAGTGGGCATTTTACTTTAATCTCCTTTTTTTTTTTTTTTTCTCCCAAATACCTGAATTATCGTGTGGAGCTGTCAGAATCTCTGCTTCAAAGTTCATGCTGGGAAACCTATTCCTGTAAGGAAAGTATAGCACTTCAGTTATTTGAAGAACCTGTATGCTTTTTTAAAGCTGCATTGAAAATGCAGAACAAAAGGAAGATACTCCAGGACAAATTGTCCTCGCCTGATAATCAATGCTATTTGTTCTCTTTTACTAGACTAAAGAAAGTCAAAACTGCTTGGTTAGCTGATCACACATAAGTATCAGCAATGGACTGGCCCCCTGCACCAGGGCTTGTCTGAGACGCGTTGTGGAAGCTTTTCTTCCCTCTGAAGAATCGTTAACCAGTGGAAGGCATTAGACTAACCGATATTACACACTCTGTGGAACCTTTAATCATGAATGGAGTAGAAGGAATAGCAGTGAAATTGGGAAAAGGCTATAGTGAGCTGCAGCATCTGAAGTGCTAAAAGACCTGCTTGGCCCAATGTTTCCGGGACCTTTTTGCTTTGCTCTTTTTTTTAAATTTCAGTTTTTCCTGGCTGCAAATATTACATTGGGTAACTTGTAGAAGGCACAGGCCTCAAAGAGCAAGAGTCAAAGAGGTCATTTGACTGTAAATGTTTTCATTCAGTCATATGTTTTTGTTCTTAACTGGGGGGGTTTTGTGCAGATTTCCAGCAATGAAGTCACATCTTCATTTTCCTTTGACAACATGCCTCATCTATAAAATATGGATAGGTGTCACTAGCAAAAGGAAGGGATGAAATTAAATTGGAGCAAGGACCTCACTTCTGCAAAGAAAGTATTGGGGTGAGGCTATCTATGCAAGGTGAATAGTCATCTTCTGGGTAACCACATTTCAATATCGAGACGCACAGCAAGACTTAGGGGTGATAATCCTGAGTTTAGACACGTTGCTGCTCCCAAAGCTTTGCCATTAGAAAATGTTTCATGACAAACAGTCTGCAATAGCAGTAAGCAGCCCTCAAGTCCCCTCTGCCAGGGAGAGAACTCCTGTGTGAATAAGAAACAAGCCAGGAGGAGGAAAAAGAAAAAAGGGAGCCTTGTAGTAGGGCTTTGAGATACAATATGTAATAACTGTTCTAGCAGGTAGCAAGGAAGTGGCCACATGTGCAAATAGCGCAATGCTCGTTGATGAAGGCAGGAAAAGACTAAGGTCAACCAGAAGTCTTGAAGACACTGGAGTGCTGCCAGAGTCCTGCAGGAACAGTCGATTTCATCTGACTTCACTGCCAAAGTCACATACCTGGCTCCCAAGCGGTACGTCAAAGGTCTCGGTTCCACCACCTTGACCTCACCCCGCTCCCAGAGAAGACCTCACAGAAGTTCAGCAGTAACAAGCCTGAACTCAGCCCCTTCCGTAAGCTCCAGCTTGGCTGCAGGCCAGTGCTTCCAATTTCCACTCAACCCTCTGACATCTTCTATCTCTGCCTGTCAAAACAGAGGACTAGTTTGTCCTCTCAGCTGGCTGAACTGAGCAAGGTGGTTTTCAGAATAAATCTCCCACTAAAATCTCCCACTGCATGGCTTCCCCTGCACAGAGAGGAACAGCTCTCAGGGTCCAGGGACACGACCTTCATTTCTGACCGGTCAAATGTTTCCAGCCATCCCAGGAGATCTGCCAGGTGACCTGGACAGAGTATGGCACAAGTATTCACCAGGACGGATGATGCCAAGTTAACTCTTCCAGCGAGACTTTTGCCATTTCTCCCCGGGCAGGGTTTCTAAGATTGATTAATGCTTGCTGCTGGGAAGGTGAAACAGACTTAATTACTGCTGGGAACAAATGGACTTCCTCTAAAATCTGGCTTAAAATCTAGCCTAGATCTGGAAATTAGCTGCGATACTTCGGGCTGGTGCTGCCCATCCCAGCACCCCACTACCCAACAGCAGGACCGAAGCAGTGACTGCCAGGGAGTGGGATGCTCATGGGCACGGCTTGTCCTGCCGCGGCTCCTGGCTGAGTCAGAGCTCGCCGTTAGCAAGGTTAAACATCTTCCCCTCCATGAACCGAGCAGGTTGCATTACGGACTGCAGGTGCGGGGCACGGAGGGAATTCACAGTGCCACTTTAAGTGATGCAGCGCCTTTAAGTTGAAGAAGACATAAAATTCAAGATGTTCCTAGCAACACAAATTGCAAGAACGTCGTCATAACTCAAAATTTCATTACACCTAAACTTAGGCTGCTAAGGGGATATAGGTCTCCTCACAAAGGCTAGCTTAGCCCCCATCCCTCCCAGGACATGGGCACATCTGCTGTTACTCCCACCTTACACACGTCCACCTGTGACACAGGCTCTGCCACCCAGCAGAGTGGCCACTTCCCCATCTGCTGTTACTCCCCCCTTACACACGTCCACCTGTGACACAGGCTCTGCCACCCAGCAGAGTGGCCACTTCCTTGCTACCTGCTACCTTCCTACCTTCCCCAGGTGGTGGGGAAACACGCACCCTGACTCCTCGCCAAAATCCACGTACCTCTTCATCTCCGCGACCGGGTCCATGGTCGGGGCGGGTGCCCGGTGGCTGGGCACGGGGCTGGGGGTTAGCTGGGCACC